TGTTTCCCCCCCCCCCCCCCCCCCCCCCAGTTAGATGTGACAAGGACACTTAGGGCTTTTATTTGTTTATGCTGGTTTGTAGGGTTTAGGATTGAATACCCACCAAGAGTTTCTGACTACTTACCCACTCTTCCTCATCATACTCAGAATGGTGGGGTATAGAGTCCTGTCTTTTAATCTGAGAAGGATGATCCTCATGCTGTACATCACCCCCTTCTTCTGCACTGTTTCTAGGCCCAGCCGGTTTCTTGAGGACACAGCCGGGCCGGGCTGTGTATAGTGCTAAAAGGGCACTTCTGACCAGCTGATCCTTAAATGCATGCACAAATAACTCTGTCTAGAGAAAAAGTAAATGAACGAAAAGGTTAGACCAGAGAATGCAATAATGCAACACAGCTATTATAACATTGAATTACCCTTAGGCAGAGTGGATATTTGTTTCAGGCCTGGCTGAGAGGCAGAAAGCATAGTAGACCAACAAACAACAAGGAACAATTCAAGGGGTTTAGGGACATCATCACATTCTACAATCCCAGCGTTCTAAGGATTAACACAAAAGCACAGTGTCGTAGAGATCATCATCTTTTCACACAACCCTATTTTATTCAAGTTCCAAATTTTGCCTGCAGAGATGAGCCTCTGCGAGAAGCAGTTCCAAGAGTAAACAACCACAGCTCAATAATTTCCAAATAAGACTCGGATAAAACATGATTAACAAGTGTAAGGATCTTTTTAAATAAAAACACACCACTCTACACCGCTGAGATTGCAGTATCTGCAAAAGCAGTGTTTCCAGAGAGAAATTTTGGTACCTGTAGGCATCAACCCAGATATCAGGGCAGGTGATAACACCTGATTTCTAGCTTTATTTTATTTATTTTTAAAGAAAGGAAACCTTGAAGTAGTTTTTCTAGGCTCTCTGAGTATGTTATTCAATCACTGTATCATTCTTCTAAATGCTTCTTGTTGACCGTGGCAGCTGGAAGTTTACCATATTTTTAAAAGCCTCCAACCTCCCTGCATTATTTATCTGCCTTCCACCCCAACAAGAAAAGGAAAATGCTTCCTGCATATGGTCTTTAGCATCTCTAGACTGTCTCCACGTAACAGCACTCGCTGTTGCCACCAGTCTGTCACGCATGCCTGTCTCCTGCAGTCACACACAACATGTGGCCCTATCTCCACTGCTCCTCTTACTTAGGCTGCTGCTTTACTCCATCAGCTGACACGACTTGCCCAACAGAAGAAGGTAGAGGTGCAAGGACATGTTTCCTTTCACTACAGGGCGGTTATCACGGTGACAGACAGGCAGCTGGTTACTTCAACAACATTCAACAGGCTTCATCTGTCAGGGTGGGGAAAGCACGCACCCCGCCACCGTACCCCATCCCACCCAGGCTGCCAGAGCTCCTCTCCCCAGCCAGAGGCCCTGGTTCACACGTGACGATGAAACACTGCTTCGCATTTCTTTCGCAGCACAGTTACCTGAATTTATTTATCCCGGGTCAGTGGGATTTTGCTGCCTTCCTGTTTACCCAGAACATAGTGGATTGTAATGTGCGGATTCAGATGCTGAACTGCCTTTGAGCACATAATCTTAATTGAACAGGCGTGTGGAAAAGTATGTCGATAAGAGTCAGAGCAACCAGCCCGAACAAGCAGTCACACAAAGCTAGGAAATACTAGAAATAAAGGTTGCCCAGCCAAGCTTCATTCAGCCCTTTCACGCTTCGTATGCAAAACCTGGAGGAGAAGTAGCAAAAAAACCCAAACCAAACAAGTTTCAAGTGTCAGCATCTGTCTTCCTGGAAATCTTTCTCCCAGTTTCTGCACTACTGCTATTCTTATCCCATCCCTTTTTGCCATTACTTGCTCCCCTTTTGTATGCCTCTACTCCTACTCAACTGATTTTTCTTGCTTTCCTGCCTCAATACCCCCTCAAAAGTTTACTGACATTTAGACCACAATGCTCTAAATAATTGATGGTTTTCTTAAAGCTCCAGCTGCTGGGTTAGGTACCTGCCTGAGAAGCTTCTGCTTTTTCCCATTTTCACGATGTTCAGGAAAAAAGATATTTTTGATCCCTAATGGTTGTACATTGAAAGGCTAAAAATTCACTGCAAATAAAACTCAAAAGTCTTAAAAATAAGAACCTTAGGGATATCTTAGCTAAGTTATGCTTTTTTAAACCAACATCAGGACTTCTTTCAGACCTGATCTGGGATTTTTTCGTGATTAGGCTCGGCAACACTATTCATCTCCCCGGCAATTTTACCAGACCCATTCTGCCTCCCCCTTACTAACTCAGTGCCTGAGGGAAAGGGTGCTTAGAGACAGTTTTCTTGTATGTAGCCCTTCAGGACTGCCTCATGGTAGTCCTGAACTGCACTATAGGACAATTTCGGTTTTCTACATTTCCAGCCCCCACATGGTGCATGCTCAGAGATACATAGTCTTTGGGGAACATCGCTAACAAACCCTACCAATCTTCTATAAAGTAAGACTTGCAGAATTGTCTTTTCTTGCATGGCAACAGCAGAACTCCTCTTCAAGACTGTTCTGCAGTTCCACATCAAGACAGTCCAAACTACTTGTCTGTCCTTAGAAATGACATCATCACGGTTTTGCTGAGGTTTTGTACCTCTCCTCCGCCTCAAAGTCTGCCTGAGATCATTCCAGGTCTCTGCCTCAGGTATGGCAGACTCAAAAAAGCCTTAAATTTCAGAAAATTGTAAGTATTGGACAACTTGAAGGAAGGAATGCCCACTATGACAGAAATGTATATTAGGTAACTACCAGAAAAGTTTAAGTAGTTTAATATAAATATTTTATAGGGAAAATTCATTTTAAAAAGCAAACTGGCATGGAAGCAAACCTTCATTTTTTTCATATAGAGACTAAAATGCTTCTGTAATTAAATTCCGTTCAGGGATACCATTGTTTCAACAACAGTCTACGTTTTAACTGCATTTTCTTACAGCTCAGTATAGCTAAATGTGCAGAACATCACTGTTTATAAAATTGTATTGAAATCACAAAACAAGCCTATACAAAGAAATGAAAACTTTGCAAATTCTTTTAGATACTTGACTAAAGAATATTTCTGCAAACAAAGATAGGCATAGCTGGAAAATGAATTTATCAAGCCTTCTGCAAGCTGCAAATGCTGATACACTTGTCAACAGCTAAAGGCTTCCTTAATCAATTAACAGCAAGTGTTGATAAAAGGTTAGTCTCAGGAAAACACTACAGTAAATTGCAAATCATATATGGAGAAGTAAAAGCATGCTTAATATGAGAAAATAAGCTCAATTTAAGCAGCAGCAGTGGAATTATTTGATTTAATTTTCCACTTTCAATGCATGCAGCCAGTCCTTCCATTTCTAACATAAACACTTAACTGTAATTCACATTATTTATAGCTCAAATATACTCACTGCTATCTAATGTTTTTAGAAAGAATTATTCTATATATCAAGCTTAACATTATCTTAAAATAAAAAGTGATACGCTTTTTAATAAACTTCAGGAATTTAATCACCAGGCAAATCATTTTTATGACTTCTTCAAATGGCTGTTTAATTTCTAAATTTCTATCACGTTAAAATGTAAGAGAACATTTCTTTTTTATATATAAAAAGTATATAGAAGGTGGGAGTGCAGAAGCACCTCATATGCCTCAAGAATACAGGTAGGCATCACGTAATTCTATTCAGAAGAGCACGCCAACCTATCTTAAATATAACCAGGGACACTCTGTTAGTCTTGGTTCTCTCATACTATACCAGATTATATAGACAGGTTATCTTAGGATATCGAGATGATGCTTTGAATTAACCATGAGCTATCTAATTGCAGCAGTGTGGGGGTTCACTCAATTTGGGGTTTTGAAACTTGGTACCACCCTTCCCTGAAGTTGGTTCTTGGTCTTTCCTCCCCAGCTCGCTTCCCTTCTTTGCAAGCAGCTGTCCCTCCACACTAGCTTCCTCAGCAATGGTCTCATGCTCTTTCTCAGATATCATCTTCTCCTCAGAGTACATGTGGGAATAGACAGGGAAGCAGTATTCAACCATTCACACAGCGGTTGTTCAGACAACTTGATTCACCTCTTCCAAGCATAAGGTGGAGGCTAGATAGAAACTATAGGCTGTCAGGTGAACTACGTTGGGTGAGACTCCTCATTCCACTTCTGGGAACCTGTGCTCATATACTAACCAGCAATTTAATCCTGGCCCTGAAAAGTTGATATGAACATATACAACTAAATCACCAGCTACAAATTTAAAATATCTGTGACTTTTCCAAACCGAATAGATTGACTACAGAAAAGTGCCAAAAAAGACAGACTCTCCAATAGCCCATGGTTCAAACAGTGGGTTACTATCACAGCTGCCTGCAGCCGCTCCGAAATCATCCACTCCTACCCAGACAGGCGCAGGTGGGAAGGCCAAAGCAAATGGCTATAGCAAAACATACAAATTCCTTAGCAACCAGGTCTTGAGTCTTCAGAACAAACACTTCTTTGTTTGATTTGCTTTACTTGTGCATGCATATTTCTTTGAACTAACCACTAACAGAGCAGCTCCACTTTTTCTGTGTGCAGCTAAAAATGGCCTCCTTCAGTACTACATGGAAAGATATGCTATAATTGCCACAAAACCCCCCCTAAATTCCTCCCTTTCGTTCCCAGGCTGAGTTCTACTTTCCTATATTATCCCTGAAATCCACAGCGACTCCAATGTTCTCAGAGTTACTGTGGATTTACACATCTGTAACTGAGAGTAACGTTTATCCCCCCCGTGGCTCCAATGCAATGCCTTCACAGTATGTAGCTGAGCTCAATATTCAGATTTGAAACTCTCCCATTGAACGAGGTACTGCTGGGATAATAGTGCTCAACAGACCACAGGGGTTGCCACTTCCCAATAGCTGAAGATATATTGAAATGGTTATTGATAGTGTTATTAAGCCATATTGAGATCATGTTACAGAAGGTACGGCCCATGAAGCGATGGGAAACTTTTTCCAACCCCTCTGGTCATAGGTATAGTGCTTAATATTTTTATAGCATAACATATGCTTAAAAGTACTTCAGACTTCAGCTAATCTCCAATATCACTCTGCGAGACAGGTGGAAAATATTATCTTCCTTAACTTATTGCTAAAGAAACTAAGATGAGGAAGAGTCTACAGCTACAGGGGAATATAATAGGAGAAAGATGATTAAAATTTGAGACCTCCTGGTGCCAACTTCCTAGCTTCTCCTTCCAGACTGCATCACCATTTCTGATCATGCTATTATTCTAAACCTTACACACAAACCTGGCTTGACCTACCTCCCACAAGCAGCAGTTTGAAGTATCACAGAAAGAGAACTAAAATAACCGTTTATCATGCCACAAAATTATTTACAATAATCTATTTTTTATAAACCCCAGCATGTGGCCACTAGATGATAACAAAGAAAAATGAAATTAAATTAATTATACTTTCAAATAAAGACAACCTTTATAGATTTCATTAATTTTCTACATGGAAAGCCTACAGAAATGCTAAATAATATTCTTTTCCTGATAGCAACATTCTGAAGCTTATTTTAGCAGAGCTTATTTAACATTTCCTGATGCTCTGAAAGTCAATTTATGCAGAAAAAACCCCCAGCAGTTAGAGACTTGGTTATTCCATTTTCCATTGCAGTGAAGATTTGAATCTTACTTTTTCTGAAAGCATCTTTAAAGAGTTCTTCAAGCTGTCTGGAGAATGCTGACTTGCAGAATTAAGCAGCAGGTCTGCATGGCTTGATATGAGAGGTTGTAGATGATTGATGTTGCTGAGAACTTCTTTTGCCTTGGCTGTGTTTTCAGGTGAATAGTAAATACACTGGTATCCAGTACTGTAATAACAGAGAAAGGGTCACATAATGTCAAAATAATTTCTGCTATTAATAACAATGCTTAATGTGCTAAAAATCTTACCACTAGTTTTGCAAAAAATGACAGATACCTGAATTTCACAGATGTCATTGAAACGTTCCTTCCTTTAAGGGTAAAAGCAAATCCTTGCTTGAACGTAGAGGACAACAGACTGCCCACCACCAAACGCTCCAAGTAGTACTGTTTAACGTAATCATCCTTTTGCATGATTGATCTTAACATTAAAAACCCCAGATTTTTATTTATTTATTTAAAAAAATGTAATTCTGGAGAAATGAAAGGTTTGACCAAGTCAGGTGGTAATCACAAAGAGCATAAGGCACCTCATTTTTCCAGTTGAAATCCCCATCCCATTATTAACTACCTCACTAAGTCTTTCAAAATGAGCCATTAATGTTTAATTGATCAGTGGCCCACACTATGTTTTGATTAGCATCAGTGATGTCCAGGAAGTGGTGATAACCAGAGTAATCTCCAATACAAACCATGTGTCTATTCACAAAAAAAGACACAGAAATGGGGTATGGGAGTTAATTACTACAAAACCACACAAATGCATACTGCAAACTTCCTACTTTCCTTTTAACTGTTCACAAACTACTGCAATTCTTTTGCATGACTTCTTTTCCTATGCCTCCTTTTTTAACCCAACATTACTAATTATGCAGTATCCTTTTTTACCATTATTCCAAAATACCATTTTAGAAAGGACGCACACACACCTACTGGTTCTTCGCTGTAGTATACATCTCCCTACCTAAAACTCTTGTACATAATCCTTCCCTTTACAAAGCCCTGCTTCAGTCTTTCAGAGAAACTAACCAAAATTTTTTGCAGTTTCAGATTAACCTGTAATGTTAACACAGGAAAAAAACGTAACCAAGCAGCTCCTGGAACATTACCAATGCCAGAGCAATGTACATACTACTCCCCAGTTGGTTCTGTACGTATCTCCCTTCTTTCCTCTTGTGTATTTTCACCATACATCCTTCAGTCTCTTCCACCCTTTCCCCACTGATTTAATTTCTTTCTTAATTTCACACATTGAGACCTGAACTTTGACACTTGTGCAATCCTTTGAACTTTACACATTGCTTTTCATTTCAGTCTTATTGCAGATTTCTTCACTTCCCCATTTCCCTTTTGTGTCTTCTAGTGTCCCTTCCAGTTCCTCCTCATTAGTTTTCTACAAATTAGAAATTAAATTTAATTCAATAAAGGACATGCTCAATGCACATTCAGAAGTCCAAATGAAGGCACTTCCATAAAATGTAAAAGGCTTAAGTCTTTTGGCAAGTAAGGATGGATTCAAGCAAACTTAAAATTAAGCCTCTTGCTGAGATACTTTGCTGAGTTACAGTCCCAAATTCCACAATACCTCATCCTATTTTTCTGTCTTTCACCTATGTCTCCATTTTTAGATAGAATTCTTCGTAGAGGCAGTCAGGAAGAACAGCATCTGAGTCAGTGAAGCTTTGCCATGATCAGTCATGCTACCAGCCACATCAGAATTACTATGTGTCTCCACTTCACAGTCCACTACATGAGTTGCTAGACTGCTGAGCGCAAAGGACAGAATTCTGAATATTTCAACAAGATGAATCGAATAAACTGTCTCTCCTAATGAATTGGGCAAAAAAATCCCTGCCCCTCTGAGAAATGAGGAAACAGCCACAGCTCTGCCTTCAAGGTGGCAACACTGGCAGCGAAATGAACTTCCAAAGTCAGCTCTATCTCTACATTCACTGCAACTCTCAGGCTGTCACACTCAGTAGACAGGGCAGGTACAAAGAGTAATACTCTATGTTAATTGTAGTGAAGACATAGTCTTAAAAGTCTTGATACTTCATAGCGCTGAATAATCTTCTCTAATTCCCCTTCAGGCTTCTCCCTCCCTTTATCAAACAGCCTTTTTACAGGCTGAATCTGGCTAACAGTTATCAAGCTCACCATGCACATAACTCCTTTCTGGGATTCCCCTCAGCCTTTAAATTCCCAGATCATTTTCACTGGTCTCCCACAGCTCTAAGCTTCACTGAATATTGCAGCAGAAAAGCTACAGACAATGCTATAAGAAAAGAAAGAGGGAAGAGAGATACTAAATCTGTGGGTAGTTCTCATTCTAATAAAATCAATCATAGCTTTTAAATAAAGGAAATAGTGAAGAGAGAATGACTCTTTCTTCAGAATGAAGTGTTCTATCAGACCTCATTATTTGGCTAATTTTAACACTTCCTGAATGCCAGAAAGCATGAGATGACTCCAAATATTCAGTTTCTTTCAGAATGTGAGGGCAACTTCACCCTCGCCCCAAGAAAGTGCGTAATTATTTTTCAGAAACAACATGTTTGGGAGTATATGAAGATTCTAATTGTTGTGTCTCAACACTGTTGCATCTAAGACTAGCCTAAGACTTTCTGTGGCCTCGTTGTTCATGAAAAGACATTACTACTTCCATTTCACTGAAATTAGTTTCCTTATAAAGAAGTACTTCTAGAGCTTGCTGCCACATATAGCTATGGTATATAAGTAGTATTACTTAAAAGAAGCAGCTGCCAATAGAACATACAGAGAAACTTTTCACAGGTGTCCTAATGCAGAAACTAGATGAAGGGAATTACAAGCAAGAAGGAACTTTTGCGTTAGGACAAAGGCCACATGGGTAGGTCCAGTATGGAAAAACAGCAGCACTATGAAAACCTACCTTTGATATGTAAAATATATTATTAGTCATGTACCTTTTGAAAAACTCTATAATAATGTCTTCTGGGTTGAGTTTCAAAGCTTTCACCAAACACATAAAATCACACTTAATCATTTCCATATATTGGCACCATCGTTAACTATGTGCACATGACTGTCAGTGGTCATTTCAGTTTAAAAATTGCTTTAATGACATTGTCATGTAATTTGAATAAAGATTACATTGACTACATCTGCAATTTTAACTCTAAATTAACAAAGTTTTTGCCTGAGAATAAATACTGCAGTATGCTAAATGTCTAATTTTTAATGACACTCCGAGTTACTCCACTCCTGCTGTTAACTGGGTAATTTGTGTGACTGAGTTAAATTGTCACCATCTGGGACTGGGTTAAAAATCTTTCAACAATGAACATTTGACCTCGCATTTTTCACAGTCAACACCACAGACATTCAACATCAAGAATACAGTTAAAGCATACACAGCAAGAACATCTACCCTCAGATAACCCCAAGCTTAGGCACATTATTGAAGATACCAATTCAGTGGCTTATTTATGCATCACCTGTATTCTGTCTAAAGTGGGAAGTTATGATAAAAAATAAATTGCTACCTAAAAAACCTCAGGACAATTCACTGCCTCAGGAAATAAAACTAAACCATATGATCAGTGTTGAGGTTTTGAAAACAGACCTGAGAGAGATCAGAAGTTAAATTTTTTTTTTTTTTATTTCCTTAAGATTCCCTTGCAAACTTGGAAATTCTAATTTTGAATACTGAGGAAAATGAAATTGTTACTAGTTCTGTCTAATCTATCTTTACTTACGAAGTCCAAATCTCCATGAATCCTTATCTTGAAGCAATGGCTAAGGCTGTGTGCACAGGGCTTCTCTTGCTGCTCTTCTATCTCCTTTTCATTCCTGACTGACTCTTGGAATAACTCTACATCAATGCCTTCAGCTGGTAATGGGACATGAGTTTCAGTGAAAAGAAAGGTCAAGATGCCCTTCATCAGCCCTCTAGAGACCAAAGTAGGACAGATGCTACAGTGACATAGGTGAATCTCACAGCAAATCTTTCTAGGATGACTCACTCCAGGAAGGTTGAATGCCTAGGGAAAGCCTTCCACAATTCTTCAATTTAATTTTAGAGTATCTTCACGCTGGTGGAAAGATGCAAGTAGGCTTTAACATAGACGAGAATCTTATGCTGGGTAACTGAACATGGTTCTTGTCAGAAGAAAAAAGGTATTGTGCCTCACCACAAGCCTGAGGCTAAACGGTGCCTTCCAGCGGAGCCTTTTCCTGGCAGCCTGCTGAAGTGCGAGTTACACGAAACGATGGCAAAGTCATGGATCCACTCTCCTCCTGTCACTCCTAGAGCCCATGTAGATGGAACAGTTTCTTCCTCTCCAAAACACATGATCCTTTCTAACCTTCGCATGCAAAGCTCCCCCAACTCCTCCTTCCCTTCTTTTTTCCAGCCCCAGTCCCCTTTCTTTTACACCTGCTTAAGGAAATGATTCAGGAAATTCTGTCCAGAGAGGCTAGCTGCTGGAAAATACTGTGATGAGATTTTTATACCTCAATGAATAGCACAAACTTTGGCAAAAGCTTCTCAGCAAAACTTCCAACAACCTTAATACACTGATTTTATGGTCAGTGAAAAAATATTCATCTCCATGAAGTCTAATCTCTCCTTTTCACACACACATAGATATACATACACACACAAAAAAAGGGGGAAAGTGAGCAAAAGAATGTCTCTGTGAAAAATGCTATGTGTGACAGGCTGTTGTTTCCCTTTGAGAATAAAGGTTGCAATTAGATCAAACACAAATCATTATTATTTCAACATCTCTGGGATTTTCTGTGAAACAGTACCATTTCAGGTTCCTCAGAAAATGGAAATGGGTTGAAGGTTATGAAACTCAGGTAATAGGAACCCTGAAGATCTCAGTGTTTATAAAATCTCTGGTAATGATTATGTTAGTGAAGGAGCACACCTCACACCTTGACAAAAAATCCAGGCCTCAAACAAAAAAGTGTCTTTCTGGACAGTTCAAATGCAAATTAAATTATTATGGCTTTCAAAAAAAAAACCAAACAGAAAATCCTTTTCAGTACTATTCCAGCTTTAAGCTTGTGCTAATCTAAAGCAGGATCATTTCTAAATAACCTGCTAGAGATGGTGACAAAACCATAGTGAATCACAGCACCTAATGCAGCTTGTGGGACACCTCTGTTTTTCTTGATGGTTAGCACTGGGGCATTAAAAATCTTGTAATCATAAGTCTATGCGTTTTGGCTAAAACAGAGATCATCAAATTAGATTTTAAATAGGAGAAGTAGTCCTTGGTGTACCTTGAAAGTGATTTATGAACAATTCAAGCAGTGAGACATTACATAGATATAACTTACAGAATGTCTGCCTTAAATGTTCCTGCACAACTGAGCTCTAAAAGTAGTAATTTGCTGTGCCATCGAGACTGATGAGAAGACAAGCCCTTCCATTTGCTGGAAGGAGAAGCAATCTACACTAGCAGGCCAACAGAAGACTGAATCTGAAAACTGACTGACTTCTCTTTTAGCTAGAAATAAGGAAGGAAAAACTAAAAAGAACACACCAATACAGCATCATAAAAAAAATTCTAAAATAAATGTACATCATACACAGATAATTAATATTCTGCAATGATTTAGCATACCTTAATCATGACACTTCAGTTATTTGAATTTAAATGCTATCATGCCTAAACAAGATTTAAAAAAAAGCATCCATTGCTCTTACTGGTCTTACGAAGTTCACTACTAGCTACTAAAGGGACAGACATACTAGAGTCATGCCTTACAGACATGCCTGATGTTTGTAGTGGTAAAGCCTTTTATCTGTCTCTCTGTTGCAGACAAAGAACAGTACAGATTGCGAAGGGGTTATAAAGCAATGTACCTGGCTTCAGATCACATACCACTAAGTCTTGTTTTTCACCTGAAAGAAAAAAACTTTTCCTTCTCTTATTGGAGACCATATTTTTAGAAATTGAACTTTCTTTTTTTCTCTTAATATGACTTGCTTGGTGGTAACAAGTGAGAGAAGAATTGCAAAAATACTGCATTTTTTATAAATATTCTTTCATAATACCTTCCCCTCTTTTGCCTGCACAAAAATGTATATTCTATGTAACGGAAAATATGCCAGACCTATCTGCAGATACACATTTTCCACATTCTTCTGTTTGATAAATTTTCATGAAACATATGTTTCACTCTTGTTTTGGTTTGGCAATTGCAAATGCAATTACACTCTTGCAAAGCGGGATATAACCTTGCTACCAGTTAACAGTTCCTCTTGTCTGTTAGTTCCACAAGTATAGGTTTGAGCAAAGAATATTTCGTGATATGCTGACATTGTTGAGTATTTCAATAAACTGTTCTAATAATCAGCCTGAAGGTCAAAGGCATTCAAGGCATTCTGTCAGGTGCACTAACAATGTCTCTAAAGCTACTGGGATTGGCTTGAGAAATAACCTGACTGACATCTTCCTCTGGGTCTCCAGCTCAGTTAGCCTAGAGGAAACAGCTGCTAAATCTGCTTTTCTTTCTGTTCATTTTATATTCTGACTGATATCTCAAGGTGTCACTACTTCCTTCAACCAAATCTTCAGAAAAGCTGCTCCCATTGTAAAACAGAAAATCTAAACTGTAAAAGCTGCCCCTGGAAATGCTATGTGTCCTCAAAGCACCCTCATGCAGTTAAGCCAACAGGTGCATATAAAATAAAGTTGTCACTGCCACAATGAAAGAAACTTCTCTGCGGTAAGAATGAGAACGGTTCTTTCATGTATCTATTTAAAGTAGACCCACTCTTGAATATTCAAATAAGTGAGATCAGACTCAGAGCTTGCTTGCTCCGGCCTTTCAACTCACATAAGTCCTTCTAGTTGAAGAAAAAAAACAAAACCAAACCAAACAACCATAGAGTTTTCTCCAAACTGCCCTCAAAGACAGAAGGGAAGATGAATTTTGGAGGTTCCCTCCTTTCTACTTCGTGGGAATTCATACACTAAGTGACCATTTCTTCAGGTCTGGTAAGTGATTTGGTAAACATTGCAGTCCCCTGTTTTCAGTGCTCAAACTTAAGTCTGTTAGCCAGACTCAGGCTCCTTTCTTAGGAAGAGTCTGACAGGATAGTAACATAGTTACCCTAGTTATGTCATCCTAAAGACAGACTTTTGCTCTTCCAGGGGAAAAAAGAAACACAAAGAAAATTGCACTATCAGAGTAAAGGTCCAGTATCCCGTCCTTGAAAGTCACCAAAATACAGGTGCTTCTGAGGGATGCATAAGGTGATGTGTAGGCATTTTGAAACAGGTACGAAATGCCTTGATAAAACCTGCACAAAGCTTTACCCAGTACTCCCGAACAGAATCCTCTATCAACTTAAGAGTTCTACATTGTTGAGTCAGTGAAATAGGAGCGAACAAAAATGAGAAAGGCTGTGTTGCACTGAGTATCCTTTGCCATCCTAGCCTTTTGACATATAATATTGCACAGGATCCAAAGAAAGGAGCCTAGCCCATCATCTTCTGCTTTCCCCTGTTATGGGCAACTGAGAAACAAGGGCATTGTCTATTCATTCCTATGAGATACTGCAATATGTGTTCTCCCAGGAAGAACTCAAGAAAGACTAGGTCTCTCCCCTATAAGGCATTTTCCCTTTTTTTCTCCAATGAACAGAAATCACAGATAATAATTTCAAGTTTGCCTCACAGCTATCCCTCTGTTCTGGGAAATCACATTCTGCCAGTGTGGATATGCTGCAGGACTGTGCAAGCAAGAAACGGTTCATTTTCTGAAAGCTGAACACTGTGAGGACTGGAACTGCAAAGTTCTTAATAACACTTATGACTTTAATTTCTTCTTATGAAATATAATAAAACCCCACTAAATACTACTGTAACTATATTAATCATATAGTTAAGTAGCAGATACTTTAAGAAATGTCTTTAGACATTTTCTTCATCAGGAAACACGTACTTCATAGACCTTCATATAATGGGGATAAGGCTGCCTATACCAGTCTGCTGACAGCAGAATAGGTACCTGCTGGTAACACAAAGTCCATTCGTGGATCTCATGTGATCAATGATATTCATGTTTCATTGGCAAGCTTTGTCACCAGAGGTGGCCAGGGAAATGAAAGATTTTAGAAGATTTAATAGGGTTTTTATGTCATGCAGTGCAAACAGAAAAAAAATAATAATACGGTTTTCAAAGCAAATATATACACTGGGTTTGTTTAGCTTTAGCACTGATGCCAACTTCTAGTCAACCTAGAAGTCAGCAGTAGATTTTTATAATTCCTCCTTTTATTCCTTATGATATTGTACCTATGCAACTTTTTTGAGCATTGAATATAATGGAATTCATTTTCTATGGAGCATCATAATGATTTAGATTAGCATACATACAGTACTTCCTGCATTCCCTTTCCAATCCTGTGCCACTGATTGCATGGGGTTGGCGCAGTTAGTTGAAGTGTTGAGCAGTCACATCTATGGGTGCTGCCTGTGACAGCTGTGGCTGCTCAAAACTTCTCCACAGACATAGCAACAAACACAAATATGTCCAATTCTTAGTTTGCAAAATAGACAACCAATTCTTCTGTACAAGTTCAGTGGTTAACAAAGCATTTGAGTACAGCAATAAACTGAAACTCTAGTTAAAGCCTTTATCTTTGCTAGTCTCATTTTGGCTTTCTGAAGAAAAAGAGTAGTTTCCTTCTTACTTCACAGGCGTGCTAAAAATATTTTTTGTTCACGTATGCCTAGGGCTGTCAGAAATGAAGATGCTACCTTAAGCTTCCGTTTCTTTATTGAAAAACTGTCTCTAGCTACTTTCCACTTTGCACAAGAATTACCAAAGAGATATCTCATTCTGAACAGCATGTTTTCAAGCACTGATATTCCTCAAGCTTCCTGAAATACGGGAAGAAAATCTCCCAAGTTTGAGTTTGTGTTCAAAATAAGTCTTGACACTAAAAGTAAACTGTGCTACAATTTTGCAGTCCAAACAAAGCAGGGAAGACAAAGGAAATATTTTATGAATGCATCCCTGTCCAGTCCTACTGGATTTTAGTTTTCCATGCATTCAGCAGGTTAAACTGTTTTGTTACTTGGTGAGCTCATAACATTTTAATGCAACTTTAATGATATTTTCCTAGCAAAAATTTTCCCTACAAAAATACTTACTTTCGTCTTTCTGCCTCAAATTTACTCAGCAGTTTTCGGAGACCACCATTCTTAAATCCTTGGAAATGCGCTGCTGGGGCTCCCACAGTGATGACATCATACAGAGCATCTAGAAAAGGAACAGACAAGAACAGAGATTTGCATGCGCCTATGCCCAAGGTATGGCAACACTGTGATAGTTACTCTACGAGACGTGAGGACAAGTCTATATTATTTCCAAGGAGTAATTGAGAATCTGTGTCTCAAGGAGGCCCAAGAGCTAATCAATCTTTCCATACAGCCACCTGCACACCTTAGAAGGTTTTATCTGATTTATTGCTACATCTAAATTATATGCCACAGTGTAGAACAATATTCTAGCTCTGCAGTTTACAAAGCTGCCAAGTAAATTGGCCCTTTGTGTATTTTACTTTATTACCCCTTCCATTATTTAACTTGTAGTCATGTTGAGATGCACAGATTCATGCATTTTAGAGTCAAAAGAGACCATTATGATGGAGTAGTCTGACTGCCTGAATAATACAGGCTACAGAATTACAGCTAATGATTCCTGCATCAAGCTTATGTCTTCTGATTGAGTGAAGGCATCTCTTTTAAAAACCAAACCAAACCAAACAAAAAAACTGACATCTAATCTTGATTTAAAGACTTCACGCGACAATGAGTTCACTGCACTCTCAGAGAAGTTGCTCCAATGATTAATCAATCAATCTGACTAGTAAAAATATCCACTTCTTTTCTAGTTTGAATTTGTTTAGCTTCCACTTTCAGAAATAATTACCGCTTAATGCTAAATTGAAAAGCCCTGTTCTATGACATATACTTACTTTTTATATATGCTTATAAATACATAACAAGTCAGTTGTTTTCAGCTGAAAAGCTACCAGAATGGGAAAAAAACTATACTATTGAAATTCTTGCCAAGACAACAAACTGTTGTTACTCTCTGTACGTACCTGATGTCTGGTGACATACGGGATGAACTTTTTCTATGGATGTATGGTTACAGAACTGGAGATGGAACATCTTTTTAAAAACAGCCTCTCATTTTGTGCCTGTGATTGATTCTCAGTGCGGATGAAGATTTAATTACATCCCAAACCACAATAATTACTCCTTCAAAGTTTACATTTACGCTTGCAGAATTTACATTTGCACTAAGCAGTACCTGTTTTGAGCCCAAGCATACTGGAGGTATAAAAATACAGGTCAGCATACCTCATTCTTAAAATGTATTTCTAAAGGAAGCATTAGAATAATTTTTTTTGCGAACTATTTTATTCATCAAGGAAGCTTTCCATATAAATTAAAATCTAAACTTCTCCTAAAATAGAACTTTTCTTTCGTTCTGATGATAAATATCCCTAGAAGCAAGAACACTGTACAAATTATTCACAGTTAATGAACTATGTTTTACTTCCAGAACTGAATCTCAAAGCATATTCACTCAAATTGATTTGAACTCTAATGAATTGGTGACTCTTCAATAAAAGGAGAAGTGACATAATTTCATTAGCCTAAGGTGAGCTTCAGGACTCTTAAATAGCCCATTCTTTCAGGTCTTCATAGAGATTTATCCATAATACATGATCTTGGGCTATTAGAGCTCCATTGGTACTTGATGATAAATAGTTCTATTGCTTAAAACAACAGTGGCTTGAAACCAAAACAAGAGATGAACCCATCAGGTTAACAGGATAACAGCTTCTGAATAAGTTTACAGATAACTTATGAAACTACAGGAAAACATTTAGAAGACTAAACCCTGGTGCTTTTTTCCAACTCTGTTTTAAAAATAGTGACCCTGCTTATAGCTACTTTGGGGGGATTTACCCAGAAGGAAGCTTTCCTTCACCCTGTGGCCTCTTCTCAGCATGGTCAAGGAGCAGCTGTTTGAGACAGAAACACACCCAGAACAGCTGAGCACCTACCCCATGCAAGCGAACGTGGGAGAGGGAGGATGGCAAAGAAGAAGAAAACGTCTACAACCCTGGTGACGGGCACAGGGCCATCTCAATCCCACTCTCCAGAGCACAGAACACCAGGAAGTGCTGCAAGACCTCGGAAGAATGCCTTGTGATGTGCCCCACTTACAGAGCAGTGCAGCTCCTCGTGAAGGGGACACAGTGACAGCATGAGTGCACTGGTACAGGAATGCTCCCGTAACTCACAACCACCATCCCCTTCAAGAACAGACTGCTGGTGACAGCTCTCTACAGTGGAGACAAAGCTTAAAATGCAGCAAAGTGTCGTAGGAGCTGTATCATATTGTCAGCATGCTCCCCCCAAATTATTAATTAATAGGTGTTAAAAAACCCCTCCACCCTTCCTCAAATACTTGCTTCAGAATTTGAAGGAAGAAAATGCAAAAGATTAGGGTGCAAGGAAGTTGAGCTTTAAATCAGTCATCATTTCATACTGATTATTCTGACTCAAAGATACTCTCACCTCCTATTTATACAAGTGAAACACTAACACCAGTTACACACTCACCAAAAAGAACATTCCTTCACCATGCAGAAAGATAAATTACCTGCTCATCACTCCCTCCTGACTAAAACACAGAGGGTTTGCAACATGGTGACAACCACAGCTACATGGTAGAAGCTCCATAAACCTAAGCTTTATCAGACCAATTTAAAGAGCTGAGAGATTTTAATGTCAAGCACAGCTCAGTCTCAAATTTGAAGCAACCTGCTTGCCTTCACAGGAGGCAGTCAGTGTCTCACACTGGCCAGAAGCAAATTAAAAGTCTCTTCAGTCCACCGAATTTATTTAAAACAAGCACACTTAGTGTATAAACAGGGACAAAAGGAAAGCTATGGCAACATATAAATTTAACTTCTGTAGTATGATGAACAGAGCAAAATGTGGTGTTTATCAAATGGATAGGGATACAGTTATCCCATAATGAAATAGCATTTTTCTCAAAGCTGTTCCTACTGGAAGTTTAAACACACAGGTGTTTTCTATTCCATGTCAGTACCCAATAACAAATCTAATCAAAGTTCAGTAAAAGTAAATCTGTTATTGAACATGTTGAACAAAAAAGCACATATCCATGGGCATACACATGATAGATGGGATTAAAACCTATCTTGCATTCCCAATATTAAGACATCTGACATTGTAAGGGTTAATGACAGCTTTACGGCTCACCAGCTTGTTTTATCACCACCTCTGTGAATGTTTACATGCTCTCTTTTTTTTCTTCTGTCAGTCTCCTGGTTATATTCCATGTGCCCTTTGACATATGCCAAGCAAAGCACGAGATGAGAAAGACCAACTTGATGTCAAAGTGCTGCTTACTGCACAGTGACTAGCAATTGCTACAAACTGTTCAAACTATCTGTACCTGATACAAGACAGAGCTCTTTAGTGCTTAAAAAGTGAAACTTACTTCAGTGAACTAAACAGATGGGACAGTGGCTATGTAATAGATACAGAATCATTTATCCAACCAAAGGCAAATATAATAATAATAATCTTCAATTACTTTTTGTTATATTTACACTGTAATGCTACTAAAATATCCTAAACATATTGAGGAACCCATTTGTATATAGAGAAATAAAAAGGGCTCCCCATAACTAAGGTGTCAGTCTTCCAAAAATACATGTAAGCGGAAATTCCCCAATTTTAACACAAGTTCTTTTATTTATTATTTATACGTTTCGCAATCTCTAAAAACTTGAGTGTAACAAGAACAGTGTTATCTAATTCTCATGTCAATGGAGTGAACGTTAACTAAAGAAAAAAGGGAGAGTTTTATAAGTTAAACAAAGTTCTAAATTTAGAAGATGATTCTGACATTTATGTCTTTCTGTAGCCTTTTCAGTTATGGATTAACCATTTGCCACAAGCAAAGTGGTTGTGGATGAGAAAGGAGAAAATTCATGAAAAAAACAAAACAAAACTCAAGTAGGGTAGAAGTTGTGGGTGATTAAGTAAGTGGCATATTTCATTCCACGTTTTTATTTAGCAAATAAACATACAATGAAAAGGCATAAAATTAAGGTTCTGGCTACCTGTAGTCATTACTAATCTAAAAATGCTTTTGACTTAATTAATTAACCTCAAAACATTAGCTAAATTAAAATTTGTGCTGTCATATTCTGTCACTATAAATCGCCATCTTGTTAAAATGTTTGGAGGCACCACTGTTAAAGAAATAATGAAATATTGAACCAATACAGTATCTAACAATCAGCAGTCCCCATGTTCCAACTTGGAAATGGATGAACATCAGCAGTACACAGTATAATACTCCTATAATTATTGTTTGTATTTACTGTTTTACAATCTGCTTAGATGCAGAGTGTATTTATAAGCCAAAAACCTTACAGAGTGTAATTTCCGTGTTTCTACAGTGACAGCAAATTTAATAGATCTCAATTTATCAACAAATTATTCACTGTACTATGATTTGCTCACATGTATGTATCAATATAATCTTTTATGTGTAAAGGACGCTGCTAAAATTATATGCAAGCAGCAGCAACAGAATACTGTACTAAACAGAGTCACAGACAACATTATGGAAAATTATCCCCCCTTTCCAGAAGGTATTAGAAGTTGACAGCATTTTCAGCATAATCAGTGAGATACTTTCACTTAACACTAAGAAATGCTTACTTGGCACAGGGTAGCACTGAACAAGCAGATTTAGGCACAAGCAGCACGGGGCTCATTAAGGCTTCCTAAGAAATAGGATATATTAAGTTTAGAAGTAACACTGTCCTTAATGGAACCGTGCAAGTTGCATCACCTAGGCTGGTGAGTTCATCCCAGCAGTCTCTGGGATGCCACTATCTCTGGTGGCACAGTGGGGAAAAAAACCCTCACCTTAGAAACAAGACAGGTAAGACTGGCTTTTACACTACACTGACATTACAGATCACAATGAAAAATTAAGCCAATGCCCTAGAAGGACGTGAATTTACTGAACATTGTGCAGTGCGTCAGTATGAATCATGACAGTATTAGTTCTGCGCTGCCACAACAGAATATTTTTAACCACGCACAGGTTACCAATACATATCAGTGAACATATATTCTGCATTTACTTATTTGTCTGAAGTGTCATAGAAACAAAATGAGCACAGCACCCCTGGAATTTATTTTAAAAAAAGAACTTAAAAGAAATTTAGTTAACCACTCCTTAGTTTTCCAAGATCTGCAGTCAGTTTCCAAAATTTGTGGCTTCAGAAAATGAGGCAGAGAAATCCCTTGTATAGCTTTAACTTTGGACCTGATTCCTAGGTTTCAGCACAGACTCAGGACTTCTGATCAATCTCAGCGGCAGTATGTCTGCATGCAGGTTTCGGAATTTGTGAAGAAATGTGGAGGATGGGCAAGGTGGCCACTTCTTTGATCTCATGGTTTACTTAACTGTGGTCCTCTACAGACAGTACATACTCAGTTGCTCTAGAAATATTCCAAACAACATCCAAACCCAAAAGCTTTGGTTTTAGGAGCAAATGCACAGGCCCGAGAGAAGGAAATCAAACCCTTCAGGAAGACAAGCACGTTCCAGATATGTACACAAAGATAATTAGGAAATAAGCACACAGAAAGTTTCTAGACCCCGTTAAACAAAGTAAAAAATTAAACACTTTAAGCCTGTACAGCAGTACAGATTTTTAAATAATGAATTTGGAAGCTTGATTTTTTATTAAAAAAACAAAACAACCACCAAACCAACCCAAAAAACCAAGTAACAATCTTGTCATACAAGAAACCTTCTGTATCAAGCCATACTGCATGAATATTACAAACAAGCTAATACTGTACAAACTTCACTTATCGGCAAAACACATGCAACATGAAATAAATCTCAGATTTTTCTTTATAAGTCACTGTATGTCTTGTGATATTCTTTTCTCCTCAGCATTACTCCAAATCCATGTAAGCCCAAATTGCACATAAATTTACTAACAAAAAAAAAAAAAAAAAATCAATTTAATACTATTACTTTCCATGCTTTTTATCTGTAGCATCTTTATGTCCCACCTACAAAGTTTAACAAGACTGTTGCCAGTATCCTACCCTTAAGTGCAAAATTCAAAATGACCGAGATTCAACTCTCTAAACAGCATACCTTTCAAGTCTATTGTGGTTTTAAAGTTTCATCTGAAAGCATGTCCACCTCCTAATGTTCATCCTTCAAACTGGATATATAAATTAAGATAATTACATCTTAAAAAGGGATAAAGTGGAAACCATACTTCTTGGTTGCAAGTTTAATTTTATTTCGAAGCATACTTTGTCATACTTGGGGATTATCTCCACAGAACATACTTTACCTTTCAATCGAGGACTATGCACGTGCATTCTTTGCAGATGAAGATTTATTGGGATGAATTCTAATGTTTTTTCTCCTTTGCTACAGCTTGATTTGAAGGAAGAACCTGAAAAACAAAAGTTTAAAGAATCATTATCTTAATCACCCAGCAGATGTTTTGTCGTCTTCTTAATGTGAGGACAATACTTGTATATTAGGAGTCTTCTTTAATCTACTTTTAATGTGTAATTGTATATTAGGAGAAGAATGGTTCACTAACCGAGTCTCAGCATGTATCCATATTGGAAGCAACAAAACAGCTTTTAATTCACAGAACAATCTAATTTTTTATTCTAGGTGCTAGACATTTTTTCCTGCTGTCTGAAATCAGTCTGCAGCCTGCTGGAAACAATGTCACAGTTAATGTTCATTATGTTTATTCTGTGCTAAAAACACGGAGGTACAGAGCTATGATGGTATTACATTATCACCAAGTAACATTTTTTTCTTCAAACAAAAGTATTACATTGACTAGGCTATGCATTGTTCCTAGAAAGTTCAAATAAAGAAACATAAACTAGCTTAAGAAATGCTATAAATTAGTTTTCTTTCTAAAAAGCCAGAATCACGAGAAGCACAATGCTCTGGGAAAAAAAATAAAAATCTGGTTGCATACTTGAAAAGCATGAGATTATGAGTAACTCTACGGTGGTATAAAGGAATATAATTAAAACCTGACAGTATGAAAACGTAATTTACCTGGAGATATTTGATACATCATTTAGATAAAATAAAAGGGTGTAGATTAGTAAAGAGAAGTGATCCTATCTTCTCACTCAGGCAGCCCAACATTTACTTAGACTGTTTTTTCTGCACCCTATCATTTTGCCAACTATTAACCATTTGGACTAAAATTCCTCTGATTCAGATAGGATGTAAAAAAAAAAAAACCAAAAAACCCAAACAAAAAAACCCCAGAACTTTGGAAAGGGTCAACCTTTTCTTGAAGAAAAAAAAAAGGAAATATTTGAAATTATTCTTCTTGACTTGCTCAATCAAGATTTGCTAGAGGTTATCTGTTGAAACTGCCATAGTTTCCAACGTGACTTGCATTGGGAGGCTCAATGCTTAATACATTGCCAGAGGGCACCAATGATGCTCCAGACCAACCAAGCCTGCTTAGGCTGCTACCTAAGCTTAGTAACTTAAAATAATAATTTAACAAAGATTAAGAGCAAAGGTAGCAAGAAAAGCAATTGTCAGGAGTCAAAGATTCTGATTTGAACCTGGGGATGCAGACTGAAACCAGGAGTCATTGAGGATGAGGAACAGCAGTGGGAAACCTGCACCTGGGAAGCACAGAAATACAAAATTATGGGAGCAGTGAAGGGAACTTGAACTATACCAGAAAAAAAAAATGGGAATGGTGCCGGTGAGGAGATTATAAATCATTAGGAAAGAAAACAGAAAGCGGGCAGATAATTTATGAGAATTCAGCTGAGACCAAGATCAAAGCTTAAGGAATGATAACTGGACCTAAGATAAGGAAACACTGGCAGACTAAGAGGAAAATAAGATGACAGCAGATATCAAGGGACAGGCAAAAGAAGAGTAGCAGGGAGAAGAGAAAAGCCTGCTCTCCCTGGACTACACTTCTATCCTGAGCTGGAGTAGAACACATGCAGCATTGCTGAGTCTCGTTATTCCTCTTTTCAGGGAATACCTGTGAAGCAAGAATCCCTTCCCATCCAGTGCCAGAAACATATGGGATAATAACCACCCACTGCTATCAGTTATTCTGTTTACTCAGGTAAAAAAGATCCATGCAGTGGAATTAATATCTCAATCTGCATTTGCCAGTATCATCCATATGATAAAACTGATTTTCAGTATAGTTTGTCTGTTTGTTTTTAAATAACTTGGTAAGTTGTATTTAAGGACCAAGAAAACTACATTCCCTCTATTAAAATAGTTATTACTGTTGCAAGATTAAATTCTTCAAAGTTAGGAAATACCAGAACATAGATGCAACCTTCATCTGATATCCACCTGAAGGGGAACTGTGAAACAGAATTCAATGACATAGCACATAATAGCTTCTTCCAGCTCATTGAATGTTTTGGGTCTTTGCTGCTCATTTTAGAAGCAGCGATTCAGCATTTTGTTTCCAACTTTTACTTCGGTATCTGGATTCAAATATATTGCCCAAGCTTCGCACAAATTCTTAATTTCCTCAAACCTGTCTGCTGCATGCATCGCTACAGTTTCTAAGGGCTTTACAAATATTTACAGAATTAATTTTACCTGGCTGAGTAAAAGGGTTATAATTTTATCCATTCTAATGGCAGAGAATAACTTAAGGTCAAAGCGTTTAAGAAACAATGCATCAATATGAGATACTGAGGATCTCATTCTACAGAGCACGCATTATAATGCAGCATCACATTCCATTTTGGAAGCACAGCTCCCACTGAGCTGAATTACATCCGTAAGTACTGAGTACTTCTGCAAAACAGCTCGTGTCTATTGCCAGGCTTCCAAAAAAGAACAACACACACTAACCACTTCTGAAGTCTGACTTGCCTAGTGTCACATAGGAACTTTGTGACAGAGGCAAGGATAGTGTCCAATTCTCCAGCAATTGCCTTAACCTCGATTGTCTTTTCTTCTCCTTCTAGGGCTGGATGAATAATAGAATTGTCAGTTTGATGACTGAAATGGAAAAAAAAAAACGGGGGGAGGAATCGTTTCGGGTCAAACTAAAACAAACAAGTTTCAAAGTTCTACTCCCTCCCAAAATCACCAAATCTTTTAGATTAACCTGAAACTATTTATTTTCATGTTACCTAACCCTCTTAGATTCCTGTTATTTTGTTTCCTTGAAACAAAAATACAGGGCATTCTCTAAAATTCTCCCTCATTTTTGAGGATAAAAGTGTTTGTCAAAACAACTCAAATCTGAAATAGTCTTAACTTCCTTAAACCTCCATTTTCAGTAAACATGCTGCTAAACCAAAATTGCTGTCTAACACTAATGCAGTCTCCTGATACTTTCACTGCAATCTCTCACTTTTAAAAAGAAATTAAGTGGTCTACTAACAGTAGCCTTCTCCATTAAATTCCACAAATAGCTCAGCTGAGCGTGAAGTAGGCATCTCTCAGAAAACCCAACATGTGATCATATAGGAGGAATGTGGGAATATTTTGGACAAATTTTATTTGCAGATGCTACCTCCCCCTCTCTACACTGAGTGAACAGTCTTCCCTAGCGCTGATACAAAAGGAGATTGGAGATAGGTGCACCTAGATGACTTACATGGAGTTGGTCCTTCAGAACTGTTTGTGACAAGATACATGTAAAAAGCCCCTTGTTAAAGGAAAGCAATTGTTCGGTGAGTAACAAAGCAAAAATGCTAAACACGTTAACACTAACCCTGCTTTTGATGTACCGAGGAGGGAGAAGAGTGTCAGCGAGTTAGTGCTTCCACATATGTCTGGCTACCAACATGGTAGTGAAACAAAGGCAGAGGCAAAAGCACTCCATGGCTTTCCCAGAGGAATGCGGCCAGTTGGCCTTGTCTTAAAATAAGGCTTCCCAAAATAACAACCCGACTCAGGAATTTTGCATCTGAGGCCAGATAATCGAAGCTTGATCTAGTTTAGAAAACTAACCTTGTTGAGTTCTTAAGTAGAAGTATGGCTGATTGCAAACTACCCCTACTAGGATGGGTGCCCGTTTCCAAGCAGATCTTGATCTCCAGCGCAAATGCACAGCTACGCCAGAGCACTGCAATTTTCAAGCTGTTTCAGAATGGAGAGAACTACTTCAACTCAACCTCAGGCACTGTGATGACTAAGATAAAGAAAGAAGCCTATACAAGCCGACCTGTAAAGCAAAATCTTTTTTGGTTTGAATCTCTGACAATGAGAAAGTAAGGACTGTGTTGAAATATGTTGACCTGAGAAGTCTGAATTAAAGTTGTACTCACATCTCTAATCTAAATTTCCAGTCTACAATGTTCTCTCAGCATTATTTTTTGTGCAACTACAGTATGAAGTCAAATATGTGTCTGTCTTGCTTTTCTTATCAAACTCTATAATCTTGGTTTTTAAAGTTATAATGTGTACTGTTTATGGAGAAGAACCATCCCAAATGGGAATGGAAGAAGAATTGGGACATCTTAAAACATGCAGTGACTTTTATCCACACCCACCTTATTCCTTTCAAAAAAAAAGCAGTAGGGACAAACTTCTGAAAACTGGATGCAGGGAGATTAATCTCTTTTTCACAGAGAATTGCCATTACTTACTGCAAATGATCAAGGCAGAAAAGAATCTGGTAAAGGCAAGTAATGGACAGCAGAAGCATATAAGAATCTGTTCTAGATTTTGTTTAACTTTTGGGCAGCCAAATCCTACATTGCCTCTAGGATCAAAATGCAGATTTGAAGTTTTAGCCTAGCTCTACATAAGTATACAAAATACATCCCTCTGTCCACCCCCCCCCCCCCCACTTTATAATTTAAAAATGTTAGACCTCAATGGGACAACTTTAAAGGGAGACTCACCACTCAGGATTTATCATCTAATTTAATTTGTGATTTAGTAAGAATAAAAATACTATAGTGCAGGGTTAAAAGTAAATATTGTCTTCATTAGAAGGACTGGGCTATGATTTGGCTTTAGAATGTGCACGTATTCCCCTGATCACAATAAAATAAGTTTTCGAATGTTAAAGTAACTTTTCACACAAGATGGAAAATCAGGGGTTTTCCAAGTATAAACAAGTATTTTACTGGCACCGTATTAGTAAGGAGGGAAAAAAGGGTTGTTGAAGAAATGAGATTTAGGTATGCACCTGAGCGTTGGCCTCCAAATTAACACCTCCTCCTTATTTCTTATCTTCACTACAATTATTAGGTTGCTTTGGTTTTCTGCTTTGTTTTGTTTTCAGAGAAATGTTCCTACTCTTTTTTACATGTGCTGTTTCTGTTGTTCTCAATAATCCCAGGTTCCCTGGTCCACCGCAGTTCTCTCAAACCACAGTTAAGACAGATCATTTAACATCATCAACTCTTTTCAAATTCCCTTAGCACAATATAGGCCTTGCAGGATTTTTAATAGATTCTTAATAGATTACACTGTCTGGGGTTTTTTTTGTTGTTTTTTTAAGCTCAAAAGGTCATTTCAATATTTTCCTGTGAGTGACAATTATTACGTTGATTCCTTCATAATCTGTATTTATTACCTTGCATATGATACTTTATGGAGTGCTTTCAAAATGTAATTAGCAAAGCATTAAAAAAATATATATATAGTATTTAAAACACAGAAACATAGGAATTGTCATACTGGATCAGGAAGTAGTCTGCCAAAATCAGAACTGGAATATTCTGATGATGGTGAACAATCATAAACACAAGAAATTACACTTTTGCAGCCAAAATGCAAATTTTTATACAACATTTAGTGTAACAGATGAGCTTTTTTCCCCTATACACATTTAAGTAGGTGATCAACTGCTCCCAAAATGCTTAGTTGCAGTTAGAGACTGGTTTTTGTTCATACACTAAAACAGGATTTATCTTTTCCTGTGACCAAGAAAGCTATCCCAGAGCAATGTGGAATGAGAAAGACCATGCTCAGTCCTGTATTAGAAGTTGATGGATAAACGATAGAAGTACAGTTTTAATGCCTATTTTGAAAGGGAATGGTTTGTGCCTCACCTACTAAATGCAGCAGACTCATTACAATAAAAGTAAATGCGCCCAGTTCTCTATAAGAAGAAATTATTCTGCTATGCATTTTAGATGTATATTGAACTAAAACCTGATTGCTCCATTACTCGGTACAAAAAAAATTGTTTTGTTTGGTTTACGTAGACAGCTAGAAATAATTAAGAAAATACTGCAAATTCTCCCTAAATATGTATCAGATATTTCAAAAGATGTTATCATCATTTATACCTCTATTTTTTACAAATATTCATAACCATAATGTATCCCTTTTTCAGAAATATTCTAGGTTGCAAACTTATGTATATGGAACACAGTGCACAGTGTTTACCTCTGACACGCGCTGCTACGCCTACACACACGCACACACACAACTGTGGGAGTAAGGCTGCAACGGGAACATGTCATGGTGAGAATATAGAGCGAAACAGCATATGCAAGCAATAATGGCAGCATGGTCATCGAAAACACGTATTTGAGATGGTGATTGTGAGGACTGGCGTTGGAAATCTGACACCAGCAAGAAAGCAGCAACCACAAGACCTTTGTAGTAATTCAGAACAAATGTGCCCATTTCCTTCAAGAAGATCTCAAGAACTGGGCGGGGGTTGCACCAGCAGGAAGAGGCAGAAAGGCATGCTATAAACAGACAGAAATCATTGTTCGCTCAAAATACAGTGTTATTCAGGAAATAATTCTGGTAGCCTCACAAAACAAAAAAGAATTATCGTAAGTTCCTTGAATGATTTGTGAACAATCAAAAGAAAAGAAATTCAAAAGAAGAAATAATTTGTTCTACAGTCTTTTCTTGCTCTTTTTATGAGCAAGAATTAGCACAGGAGGAAAAGACCAGCTGCCTTTCCTGCACAGTTGTCACTGATGCTGTCTTATTCCACTGGCATGCAGACACTACGATACGTTATAGTCCCTGACCACAGGACGCCGGCAGATCGCAACTGAACAAGCACCCAGTGCACATCAGAACATAAGACCACTGTCGCCACATGAAAAAAAAGCAAGGCAGCACATGCTGCTATTTCTGGACTGACGACAGACTGCCAATCCCATATTAAGTCTGTGCTTTTCTGGCACAACGTGGGCAACGACAACTACTACACTAAGGATATGCAAGGCATAGCTAGATGTTACTGTTATCCTGTAGACTGTTAAATGTAACTTAAGTTAGGTTTCAAGAAAATCTGACAAAACTACCTTTAAGGGTGGTTTCAATTGGCAGATGGTATTCAATACTAGCAGAGCAGTATATACAATGAAACGTGCAATTAAAATACACACATCTACTTTTCCAATTTTTTTTTTGGCTGCTATGTAACCATGTACCATGTTACCTGGGAAAAACCAATGGAACGCATGAAAAAAGTTTAGAAGCTGAAACAGGGCACCTCTGAGTATTTCAGAAATATGATTACAAATATTTCATTTTTATGTGTTTTACATCTGCTGAATATGCCAGTATTTAATAAAAATCAATCTATTTAATTCTTAACTGCTCCAGAAGAGGAGAGGCTACTTTCATACCTGTATGCTTCCCAAGCTCTGCAAGAGTATCCTGGTACATGCTCAACATCTGATCACAGTGAGCAATAACACTTTTGCGCATATTGTCCCAGTGAGGAGCAAGTTCTCCCAAGTCTTTAAGTTCCTGATTCCTATATCAAAAGGCAAAAAGAGAAGGCACTAATTAACTCATTAATCCATTAACATTCATCCAAATTAATTCAATTAATCCAAAACCAGTTTGTTAGAAAACATCAAAAGCACTTCCTAACTGGAATAAAATCTGTTTTCTTGAGACTTGTAAAATCTGCTGGTTTCGCTCTGTTGTTCAACCACACAATAAAGAATGTCAAATCAGTGAATAATACAGTAATTTGTGTTCAAAACTCATCTGGCACAAATGCAATGGCCTGCAAATTGAAATATTATTTCTCCCCTGGAAGCAAGAAGGCTTCCAGGCTCCAGAGAGCTGTGTTCAGAGCAAGTAACTTTTTCTGAAGAAGTATTAAACACTATTGTAAAAGAATACAAAGTTTGCTCCTTTTCCAACACTCACAGTGTAGCTGTTTTGATACACGCTACTCTTTGGATACTTTCACACGCATCAAATAGCGTTCTAGTAGTGTTTCTACAAATGTCAGTTTAACCAACACACAAGCCCTCACCACATTTCTTTGGTGTTCAAAACAAAACAAAAGGCAAACCAAAAAAACCACCAGTCCCCTAAAACATAATCTTCAGGCTTACAGCTGTGTTCATGAGGTCAAAACAGCAGTGTTATGGTAACCAAACATGTCACTGCAAATCCAAAAGGAAATCCTTTAGCAAATTATCAGTTTTCCTGTACACTCTTGAGAGCTGACCTGAGTGAAATAGAGATCACTTTAATTTCCTACACAAACAAGCATAGTTACAGTACACTGGGCTTTCTGTTTGTTTTCCCCACTTGCAAAGTAAGTTTGTCCTATACCTATCCCAGAGCCACGTTGGGGGACCTGCTTTTAAAGAAACTGAAAATGAAAGATCTCAAGTCTTCAAACGCTTGGAATTGTTTAGGAGAAAATTTGTGCAACACAACCAACTAGCTTTCCTCATTTTCCTCAAAGTATCAAGCAGACTGTTTCACTGCAATTCAACTTCCAGGCGACAACTCTTACATATAGGAAAATTACTGAAAAAAAAGGAAAAACAGGGCAAGAGGGGGGCAGAAAGGGGGAGAAAAAGACCAGTGAGGCTGCAGCACAGGAACATAGAGCTACACTTACTGCAACAGTTCTGATTACTAGCCAAAAAGTCTTAGAATTATTTCTTAAACGCTGATACACTGATATTTTCCCCATCATTATTAGCTTTGCATTAGAGTGAACAGTATTAGAATAAGCTATATAGGCATAATTCTGCTCCTGGTTAATACAACAACCAAAATCAAACAGATTGCACTGGAAGCAGAAATAAGGCGTTTTGTTTATACATGTCCTTGAAAGTATCAAAATGGAAATGAAGATTACAATACATGAACTCGTTGGGAGTTTAGTAATGACATATGATTACTTTTTTCCATTTCATTCAACCTGAAGAACAGAAGTAGATGAAACTGTTCAACTTTCCTCCATCGATACAAACTGGCAATGCTGTAGCATAAGAATCATCAGCAGTAAGAGGACAAACCCACCATTTTCAATCACCATTTTCCTTACAAGTTTTTAGCAGCTTAAAATGAGTCATCCCATTAAATTAAAATCTCAGGGCTTCCTCCTAAGAAAAGCTCGTAAGATTTGGCAGGGTATAAAATTTTATTTATTTGCGGTGAAGATACTTTGGCCCTTAATATTTATGTTGTCTTATTTAGGAACAATGTTTGGACCTGGCTGAGCTGCAAAACTTTACTGCTCCTCCTATACAGGAATATAGTATTCTGCAGCAATTGGAGAAATACTACACAGTGAGACGTGAGCACATCAATACACCACATTCAGAGCCCTCTATTCCATGGAAAACCCACTGTTGGGGCTCTGCTCCCGCACCTCTATCTAAGCCCTCTCCTGGAGCTGTTGGTCCCATGCTCAAGCCAAGCAACAGCAGGAATAGAAACCCCTTATCTCAGACTAAAATATCTAACCAAAACACAAAACTGGTTTAACCGGCTGATTATGAGTTAACTCCATTGACAGCAACAGCAACAGGAAGGCAAAGCTCAAATCCCACCATATTAACTTTAACATGTTTTCAAGGAATGTCAAATTCTGCTCTTATCGTTGTCGACAAGGCTTGTAATTGTTTCAGAAACACATAAGCATCACTGATGTCAAAATACAGCCACTAGTATGTCATAAGAAGATGCATCTTATCTGCAATGTTTTAATAATGTAAGTGTGCAATTTTATAGTAATCTAGAGCCTATATAGCATGGAAACTTTAAGTACTACCTTTTCTAAATTTATTTTTATTTAAAAATACAGTAAAATCAAAATGAGGTAACAGGATTTTATGGCATAGACACTATTCCTCCAAAAATAGCTTCCTTGCACATTTTGTATCTTTTTTTCAAATGCAAAAATGTAAGACATAGGATTTAGATATTATTTGTGTCTTATGATTTCTTACTATTTGTCACTGCTGTTGTTGACTCAGTACAACTCCGAGTTACGGCTGGAAAAAGAATTATCTTTTCTACATCTAAGCTCCATCAACAATATTCCATAGTACCGACATACATCATCATTATTGTGAAGGGTCCCTCCCCAGAGTAAACAAACAGGTTGAGAAACATAATATTTTTCAAATTTGGAAGTTTATAGTTTGTACTAATACCCACAACAATATTCTTTAAAAAATAAATATTTAATTTGTTTTAATAATACTATAATACTTATACCAGAACTTATTTCATTGAATAATGTTAACAATACACTTCAACCAGTAATTGTGTCAAACAACAATTGGGCTATAAAAGAAAATTATTATTTATAATATATATTAGTTCTACAGAGGGCAAACTGGTTACTGATTCACCTTCTCAATGCAGCCCTGGAATTCTGAATAGCTTGTCAACAGAGCAGCAAGCTCAGAGCAAACTCAATATTATTATAATAGAGCTATTTATCATCTTCTTCCCAGACTCCAAATCCCCTTTCAATGTCTTTTCCAAGTAACTGCACTCATCGCCATGACAGATACTGTGCTCAGGATCAACTTCAACTCTCCTTACAGAATCAAATCCAAGCTTTGACTACATCTTGCCGTTCACCTCCTCAAACTGTCTCCTGGATAGTCATTTCTGTCAATGCACAATGGAAACTGTCACCCAGGAGTGTCTCAACTTTCATTGTCTCCTGCCTTAAGTACTTCAATATCTTCCTTGGTGGCCTTGATATAATCTTGCCCCATTTGTATCTAACCAGAATGTAGATGTAAACAGTCTGCCCCATCCCTCCTCCTCCACTTAAATGTTAGCTCATTAGCTTATTTTTAAGCCTTTCTCATGTACTTCCTGTTTTTCACATCCATTCTTTCCTTTAGTAGATTAATTGTGCCAGCTTTCACTGAGTACCTCCCATTATGGTTGGAAGCAGTTCCCCACAAAAAAAAAAAAAAAAAAAAAAAAAAAAAAAATCTAAAATTTACCTGTTACCCTTTCTTCAAAACCCTTTTCTGCCATTATGGCAGAAAATTCAATATTGGATCCTGATCTGCTGAAAACACTGTATACCACGCTGATTGTTAGTATAAAGATTAATGATCATTGGTGCTAACACAACACAATTTTAAAGAGATGGAAAATCCCAAGAATAAGTTATGAGACTCCTCAGAATGCCACAGCACCATTAGAAACGTCATGAACCTTCATTTCAGGCTCCTACTTAAAACCCAACAACAACTTTTTCTCAGAATGACTTACAGATTTACACAGCTACAATTCATGGGCACTTTGCCGTATAGGGGCTTGAGATTTACCCAGCCTTCCCCTGCTGATGGAAAGTACGGTCATTGTGCGAGCTGTTACACTGATATGCAGGGTGGTTAGGAGGATCTGTGCCTGGACTGAATTTCTTTATGAACAACTACATCAGGGCAACCAGAGATCTGTAAACGCTACATGACTGGCTAAATTTCTGACATTACTAGCAGTTAAATACTGTTGCCATTAGACTCGAAGTAAAACTACATGCAATTTTTTTGTTCCAAGAAAATGTTCAGTGAGGCCCATTATCAAATGATGGTTGAGTACCCAAGGCTCAGATTAATATTCTGCCTTTTCATTTACCAATTCATGCTGCTTTTTTTTTTTTTTTTTTTTTAAGAACAGCTTAGGTGCATGATTATAGTAAACTACTAGAAGTACCTGAAAGAGGCACAAAGAATTTCCTGTGTTGTTCACGTTAATAATTTCTACTGAAACAGTTCCTGCTTTGTGCCATGCACTCTAATGACCATAGTAACAGAAAAAGACTCATCACGTTGGATATGAGGATATAGAACAACTTAGAAGTGTAAAGGAAACATATCGAATGCTGAAAATACAAAATACTGAATTCTGTAAGGAGTACTTTGAACGAGTGTTACGCATCATGTTCAAAAATTATTTGAGGAAAGCCCTAATACTGAAGTCAGGTTACCAATGAACTTGTTTTTGCAAAAATACCACTAGCTGCAACGGTCCAGACACCATTGTGGAAAGCACAGTGAAAACCTGTGGTCAGTGACAATAAAATCAAAATAAAACAAAAACCAGCAGCAAGATATTAAGATGAGCAAGATGAGTCTGAAGGGGACATTCCCTCAAAGAACCTTTTTGGATCTGATTATTTTGTCTCAGAAAAGGGAACAGCAGGAATGCCATTTACATCATTAAGGACACAGCACAAATCTTCACAAATTGAAAGATGAAGTTGAAAAGATCAGTGTAATTATATGAAGAAGAGATAATTAAGAGGACATATGATAGAAGCACATAAACCACAAATGCTGTATGAAGACAAAGTAGTAATTTTTGATTCATTCAGCTTCAATAATCCAGTGATGCAATTCCCAGTGAAGCAAACATGACAAATTCAAAACCGAAAAAAGGAAGTGATTTTTGCCGCCACCAAGAAAAATTAGCTTCTGAAATCCACTTTCACAAAACATCAGAAGCAAAGTGCTTAGCGGGATT